CCCGTTTCTCTTCGGGTGGCGCGATGGCGCGCGCCGCAGCGCGGGTGCAGCGGGTGCAGCGGGCGCCGGCGCAGCCACAGGAGCGGGAGACTGAACCGCTGCGGCAGGTGCGGCCGGCGCGGCCTGCGGCACGGGTGCCGGGGAGGCGGTGAACCCTCCCACGGCGGAGTCGGCCTGGCGTGCGGACCGCTCGAACAGCAGGCTTTCCTGTGTTGCGGCGATTTCTGGCGCGACTGGCGGCGGGGCCGCCGGTGAAGTCGCGGGGCTTGGCGGGGGCGGCCGCGCAGCTTCGGCTTCTGCCTTGGACGCCGTCGAGCCGCTGACGGACGGCTGGGTTGTGGACTTTTTCGCCGCGGATCCGACGGGTGACGGGAGCGCTTTTGCTGCTGCTGCTGGAGGGCTCTCAGCCTGCCTTGCTTTGGCGCTGCGGCTGTCGGCCTGGGGCGCTTGGGGCGCTGCAGCATCTGCGGCGGCCGGGGCCGGTGGGGTGGTGGGGGCCGTAGCCGCTGCCGGTGGCGCGCTCGCGCTGGGCTGGCCGAAGGCCAGGTCTTTTTCCTCGTCCGTGCCGCGGTCGAACTGCAGCACCAGCAGGCCGGTCAGGCCGGCCAGCGCGAGGCTGGCCAGGGCGGAGATCTTCCAGCGCGACTGGTTGGCGGCGGGAGGTTTGGGTGCACCACTGCCGGCGGCCGGAGTTTGCCGGCCGGCTGCGATCACCATCTGCGCATGGGCGCGCACCGCATCCCGCACGTGCGCGCCGGGCCGGCGCGCATCCTGCGCGCTGGCTTCGCGGTAGCGCTGCGTCAGCGCATCGCTGCGGTCAGGCTCTGTCATGCAAACTCCTGTAGCTGCTGGCGCAGGCTGTTTCGTGCATAGCGCAGGCGGCTTTTGGCGGTCTCAAAGTTCACGCCGGTGGCGGCGGCGATCTCGTCCACGCTGAGGCCGGCTTCGGCTTGCAGCAGGAAGGCCTCGCGCTGCTCGCGGGGCAGGCGCTCGACCGCGGTAATCAAGGCCGCCGCCTGCTCGCTGGACTCCAGCCGGCGCAAGGGGCCAAAGCCCGAATCTGCGGCCAGCGTGTCGCCCAAGCCGGGGCTCTCGCCGCCTTCACCGTCGTCACCGCCGTTGCCGTCAAGGCTCACATGGTGCCGCGCGGTGCGAAAGTAATCAATCAGCCGGTTGTGCGCCATGGTGAACAGCCAGGTCTTGAAGCGCGCCGACACCTTGTAAGTGGGCGCGCTGCGCGCCACCGCAAACCACACGTCCTGCAGCAGGTCGTCGGCCACCGCCTGCACCCGCACGCTGCGAAACACATAACGCCACACGCCGAGCTCGTGGCGCGCGTAGAGCGCATCGAAAGCCGCGATGTCGCCGGCCGCATAGCGCAGCATCAGCGATTCGTCGCTGTCTTCGGCTGCGTCGTCGGACGGGGGCGCACTGGGCATGCGCCAGATTATCACGGCGCGGCGGTGGCATTTCTTCAGTACCGGCGCAGCGGTGGGTCGGGAACATAGGATGCGTTGCCTGATTGCGGGAAGGGATCGGGGATGGGGTCGCGCGCCACGGGCTCGCGGATCACACCGGCGGCAACCAGGTTCTCGCGGCTGTCGTAGCGGATGCGGATCACCTCGTTGGGCTGGGCCTGCAGGCGCGCGAAGCTGGTGTGCGACACCACCGAGCTTTCGCGGGCGCCGTGGCCGGTTCCCAGCTTCGGCGCCGGCATCGGGGCGGCCTGCTGCTTCCTGAGCGCGCCCTCGGCGGAGGCTGACGCATCCGCGCCGCCCATGATGCGCTCGGCCGGTGATTCCGCTGCGGGCGCCGCCGGGGCTGGGGCGCTGCGCAGGCTGGCGGGTGCGTCGGCCTCGCGTTCGCTGCGGTCGCGGCTGGAATAGGCGGGCGCCTGGGCCACCGGCTCGGGCAGCCGTTCGCGAAAGAGCGCCACGCCGATCACGCCGACGTTGGCCGGCCTGCCGGTGCGGCCGGCGTAGGAATCCCCGAGCGCGGAAAACTCGAAGGCCGCGACTTCGCTGCTGCTTTTGCGCCAGCCCGTCACCTGGTATTGCTGCCAGGGTGAAAACACATAACCGGTCTGGTCCCAGGCGGCGGTTTCGCCGCTCAGCACGTTGACGCCGTCGACGGCGGTGACGGCCAGCACCCGCTCGCCGAGCTTGTTGCGCACGGCAATCGCATATTTGGCGCCGTACTGGCCGGCCACCCAGTAATCGCCGCGGTGGTAGTACAGCGGTAGCGTGGCGCCGGTGTTGCGGTCTATCACGGTGATGTCGGCCAGGCGTCCGACGGCCTGCGCCGGCAGGGCCCAGGCGGACAGGGCCAGCAGGATGGAGGCGGGGAGGAGATGGGGTTTCATGGGGGCTCCTGAGGGTGGTGGAGCTCCATGAAACGAAGCAGGCGGGGGAATGGGGTTGAGCGCCCCTCAAAAAACCCTCCTGGCGTTGTTGCGCCGCCTTGCCGTACTGGTGTACTGTCTGCGGCGACGCGCCTAGCCAGGACCGCTTCGCTGGGTTTTGTGAGCGGCTCGAGGCAGGAGGCTAAGTGAGCCAAACCCGCGGAAACGGCGTTTTAAGCCGCCGCTGCCCCCTTATTGCTTCGCAGGAATGAAAAATTTGTCGAACAACACCGTCATCGACGCGAAGTCCTGGGTGAAGCGTTCGCGGTTGACGAAGTAGGCCTCGCAGGCCACGGCGAAAAACTCGGCCGGGGAGCCCGCGCCGTAGTCGTCCAGCCACGGCGGCGCGGCGCCGAAACGCCTGGCCATGGCGACTTTTTCGCAAAACTCGTCAAAGGCCGGCTGCATCACCGAGTGCCATGCGCTCAGGGCGCTGCGGGTGGGCAGGGGCGGGCAGCCGTCGGCCGCGCCGTCGCGCATGTCGATCTTGTGGATGAATTCGTGGATCACGACGTTGTGCCCGTGCTCGGCCGCGCCGCCCGCCGCGGCGACCTCCTGCCAGCTCAAGGTGACGGGGCCGCCATCCATGGCTTCGCCCAGCAGGGTTTCGCCGTAGCGGTGCACCACGCCGGCCTGGTCGGTGACTTCGCGGCGCGCCAGCATGGCACCGGGGTGCACCACGATGCCTTTGAAGTCGTCATACCAGCGCAGGCCCAGGTGCAGCACCGGCAGGCAGGCCTGCGCGGCGATCGCGACGGCCATTTCGTCGGTGACCTTGAGGCCGTGGGCACCGGTGAACTCCTTTTGTTTGAGGAATTTCCCGGCCATCTCGTGCAACTGCTGCAGTTCGGTTACCGGGCGGCGGGCCAGGAAGGGGAACTGCAGCAAGGTATCCATCCACAGGGTGTCGGGAATGGTCTTGGTGGGGGCGCTCTGGCGCCCCAGCGTTCGTAACCAGTTCAGCATGGGGTGGGTGTCTTGGTCAGGGGCAAGGCGAAAAGAAAATGAGAAGAAGTCAGCACAGGGCAATGCGCTGCAAGCCGCCGGCGCCCAGGCGCAGCACGTCGGCGCGCGGCACGGGGGCGGCCAGGTCCCAATCGCTGAGCACCACACGCGAGAGGCCTTCGCCCAGGTCGTGCAGCGCCGGCTTGTGGGTGTGGCCGTGGATCAGCGTGGGGGCCTTGGCCGCGCGCAGCCACTGGCGGGCGGCCTCGGCATCGACGTCGGCATAGGACGCGCCTGATTGCTTGCGCGCCTCGCTTTGCCGGCGCAGCGCGCGCGCGATGTCCTGGCGTTCGGCCAGCGGTTTGGCCAGGAAGGCGCGCTGCCATTCAGGGCTGCGCACTTGCCGGCGAAATTCCATGTAGTCGGTGTCGCCCAGGCACAGGGCATCGCCGTGCGAGAGCAGCCAGCGCCGGCCCGATCCCGCGGGAAACTCCAGCACGGTCGGGTCGTGCAGCAAGGTGGTGTTGCACAGGTCCATCAGGGCCTGGCCGACCAGGAAGTCGCGGTTGCCGTGCATGAAGAACAGCGCCAGCCGGCCGGCGGCTTCGCCCATGGCCTGCACGCAACGCGCATCAAAAGCGGCGGCGGCAGAGGCCAGGTCTTCGCCGACGGCATCGTCGCCGACCCAGACTTCAAACAGGTCGCCCAGGATGAAGACCGCGTCGGCGGGCGTGCTTTCGAGGTAATGCCGCCAGGCTTCGAAGGTGGCGGGTTCGCCGGCCTGCAGGTGCAGGTCGGAAATGAAGTCGACCGTGCGCCAGGACGGCGGAGCAGAAAGCTCCGCGATCTCGGGGACGGCCTGGGGAGTGTTCACCGGCGGCTGGGGCACTCAGTCCAGCGAGATGGCTCTCTGGATGATCACGTCTTCCATCGGGACGTCGTCATGAAAGCCCTTGCGGCCGGTCTTGACGGCCTTGATCTTGTCGACCACGTCGGTGCCGGCAATCACCTTGCCGAACACGGCATAGCCCCAGCCCGAGGCGCTGGGTGCGGTGTGGTTCAGGAAGCCGTTGTCGGCGACGTTGATGAAGAACTGCGAACTGGCCGAGTGCGGCGCGTTGGTGCGTGCCATGGCGACGGTGTAGTTGTCGTTCTTCAGGCCGTTGTTGGCTTCGTTCTCGATTTCGCCATCGGTGGGCTTTTGTTTCATGCCGGGCTCGAAACCGCCGCCCTGCACCATGAAGCCGGGGATCACGCGGTGGAACACGGTGTTGGCGTAGTGGCCCTTGTTGACGTAGTTCAGGAAGTTGGCAACGGTCTTGGGCGCCTTGGCGTCGTCCAGTTCCAGCGTGATGACGCCGTATTCGGCAATGTGCAGTTCGACTTTGGGCTTGCTCATGATGGGGTCCTGTAGGGGAGGGTCAATGAATTAATTGACGAGGGTTGCTGATTTGATGAGGACCGGCGTTTTGGGAACGTCGGTCGGGAAG